GCAAAACATCTTAACAACTACAAGACCGACATATTCCAATTAGGAGTATTGGAGCTGACCGGATCTCAAAAAGGCCTTCTTGAACCAATATCTATAAAGTAAGGAAGGAGAGACCCCCATTCAATGCCCGCAGGATATAAGGCAACCGAACCTCTATGGACTTTCGCTCCCTTAAAGATAGAGGTAAGGCTCTATCTTATATCCGGTGAATCAACAATGGATCCAAGCTGGGCATACCATAGCCCCTACTCCAGGTCAAGCATTAACTACTACCACTTTAAATGTTGTACCTTCTTTGGCATATGAAGAGGTTGGGTATGATATTCAATGACAACCAAATCGTTCAAAAGGCAGAGGCAGGGATAGAAGCAATGAGCCTAGGAATATACCCTATTGTGCATACCATCGAACTTATAGCCATAGCAAGAAAGATTGTATGCCCATGTCCCAACATATGGAACAGAATAATGCACATTCAGGTAGGAGGGCCGCCACGTACAATGAAATATGCCCCGGTCCAGGCATAACCAACAACTTCAACGAGATGAGGTAAGGCAGCATCCCCGGAAAGAATTCCCCAAACATGGAGGAATGGGGATAGAAACAGGCCTAGAAGTGGCAAAAGACAAATAAGAGAACCCCTATCAGATGTTGGAAATTCCCCATCAGAGAGATAGATAATAATATTGGAGGTCCGCATGTTAGCAGATAATCAAGAAACGTATAGAGGAATTATACAAAGGAAGCTAAGGATTACCCATGATGAGTTACATAGTCAATAGCAACTCTCATGAGACTAGGAGTACCCCACCCATTAGTTTTACACAATAAGATGCTGCGAGTGTACATTATCCCCATTGTGATGCGTTAGTAGTAAGTGCAGTTGTGGCAAAAAATGGTTTGAATCATATGTTGGTGGATAACGGNAACCAAATCGTTCAAAAGGCAGAGGTAGGGATAGAAGCAATGAGCCTAGGAATATACCCTATTGTGCATACCATCGAACTTATAGCTATAGCAAGAAAGATTGTATGTCCATGTCCCAACATATGGAACAGAATAATGCACATTCAGGTATGAGGGCCGCCACGTACAATGAAATACGCCCCGGTCCAGGCATAACCAACAACTTCAACGAGATGAGGTAAGGTAGCATCCCCGGAAAGAATTCACCAGACATGGAGGAATGGGGATAGAAACAGGCCTAGAAGTGGCAAAAGACAAAGAAGAGAACCCCTATCAGATGTTGGAAATTCCCCATCAGAGAGATATATAATAATATTGGAGGTCCGCATGTTAGCAGATAATCAAGAAACGTATAGAGGAATTACACAAGGGAAGCTAAGGATTACCCATGATGAGTTACATAGTCAATAGCAACTCTCATGAGACTAGGAGTACCCCACCCATTAATTTTACACAATAAGATGCTGCGATTGTACATTATCCCCATTGTGATGCGTTAGTAGTAAGTGC